TGCTGAACCTTGATTGGTCCTGAAGCCCTTACCTCAAACAGACACCTCCGCTTCTCTCAGTGTCAAAACACACCTGCGCAAAGACCTGAGACAGCTCAAAAGCTTCAATCGACTAAAGGAAGAGCAGACCACCGACATCGGAAAAGCCCAGAAGCAAAATGAGCTCCTAGAGCAGAGGCTGCAGCTCATATGCCCCGGGCCCCGCCCACCACCCTTCCCACATTCACCTGGGAAAGGGAAGGGGCGAACCACCAGAAGGCATAAAGGCGGCCGGAGAAGTGGCAGGGAGTTTGCTCATATGCAGTAAACTTAGAGTGTCCAAAGCACTGAACAGAGAAAGCAACCCTTCCTGGAAACAAGGATGCCACAGCCGGTGTAGACCGACAGTGATGCACCGCCCGTGCCGGGCCGTCTCCAGGGGCGGGGCCTTTCGTTCTTTGACTCGCAACGGGCGAACAGATGAGCACCGTCCCGGGGCTGTGTGGGGACATCTAACACACGGATAGGGTTTGGGGGGTTATGCCAATTGCGTCGTTCAGTTTTAGGGGCATGTCAGTGTCACAATGTTGTAGAAGTCACTTTTTAGCTCAAATAAGAATCCAAAGACCTGTTGAACCCTTAGACTGCAAGCTGTGAGCTTTCACCGGGATCCGCTGAGCGTGTGCTGCGCACCTTACTGAGCTGCACGAAGGAAGGGCGTGAAACCGGTGCAAACCAGGAAGATAAGGGAGCCGCGACCGTCGGCAGAAGCTGCAGCTGTTCGAGACAAGAGAAGGAACGTCCTGCCTGGAGATGGGGGAAGGATCCCATAAGGAACAAGAAGAGCCCAGGCCCAAATATTGCTGTTGGACCAAACCGTCGCCCGAGGGGAGCGGAACTTAAATTGCAGGGGTGTAATTGCCCAGGGCTTGCTTTGTTCGGGGTCCCTCTCCGGAGGCACCCAGCTCGAGCTGCTCTGCACCGCTGCACCGCTCAATAAATTCGCCTGGCGTACATCGTGTCGGAGACCGCGTCGGGGAGACCTGGGGTCGAGCCTGAGGGGAGAGAAAGCGCCTGAGGGTGAGCGTGTGCGAGCAGGGAGTCGGAGAGGGGCGCCCGTCGGCTCGGTGGAGCTGCCGCTGCGAAGGGACCCCGCTCCCAGCAGGTAACGCCTGCGGCGGGGGGGGGGCGGCTCC